TAGTTTTTTACAATCAAGTTTCGGAGGTAAGATGGATCACAGCAGTGCACACTGATTGAGAACTAATGAAAGTTTCTCTAGGCAGAAATTTTTGGTGTATCTCAATAGATCCATAATGTGACCCTGAACATATTTAGTGGAAGAAAATTTAGATAATAATGCATTATGTGATCACTGAGAGCAAACCCTTAAAATACACTGTTTATACAATAATAATAATGGAAACGCAAGCATCTGAGAACCTAGGAGGATGAGAGTTGATGAAGAATGTAGCAGAAAGGACCTTCCACCCACCTTTAAGATTCATACAGAAAAGATCTTACACTGGAGAAGGGAAACTGAAATAACAAAGTAAATTAATTTGGAAAGATATAACGAAATCTTAGTGGTAGAGACAAGATACACAAAAAAACAGCTGGAAAAAGAACAAGAGCTGTCATGAGTAATTATCAAATGACTTTCCAGGACTGAACATACAGTACATGACTAACAAGTACTGTTTATTTGTTTCCTACAGTCCAGCGAAAAGATAGTTAACATCCTAAAGGAACAGTGTACATAGAATATAAATATGAAATGAAAATAATGTGAGCAAATGCTAGTTGTATCACAATGGAAGGAAAGTTAGTTTTAATAAAATATGAATACTATCATTTACAAATGTGCCCTTGAGGTAAAGAAAAAGAAAACATTTTAACGAACTAGATATGTTTGTATAATCAATAGGATACTATAAAATGCTCAGATTTCCTTCAATGTCTTCTAAGGAAGAGCAAAAGAAAAACAAGCTGTACAAAGTTTCACAGCAAATTTTTCTTTCCTTGTCATTCCCCAACATGATCTCAACAATAACAGCTGGATAAATTTAGAAGTCATGAGAAAATGAAAATCATATTAAAATTGGAAGTGATAAATTTCCAGAACCATTTAGGACTCTTATAAACTGTAAAGCATTAAGAAATTTAGATAAAAGAAGGAAAAAATGAATGCTTAAATTCAATAGATTATTTAACATAACATAATTGAAAGAGGAATATTTTACATGAAGAATAAATGTTGATTCCACAAAAAACATATCAAAGCAAAAGACAAAATAAATAGTAAACACATTTTTGTATTACTAACGTGAAATTTCTGTTTTGTTGTGCTTTGCTTTTGCGTTTGCAAATTTAATGAGCATGACAGAAGAAATTGCAGGCTTCCAGGTGTTAATTGTGGCTGATGATTTGGATGCATTTGGAGCCCTCTTCAGAAGTGAATAGTTAATATCACTGTTCTTATTAAGTTACTCACAAGAAAAGACAGAAAAACAAAATATCAAAAGAGCACTGGTAATGACCTTACTAATAGTGTGGACCCTTTGGGCAAAAGAGCCTCAGAAGTGTCTTTTCATCGAAAAGATCATTAGACTGTAACTTTATTAACTTACAGCACAGAACATGGCGATGGGTACCAGGAGGGTTTCTTTGAACCCAAAGCAACAAGAGTATATCCTCCACGCAGAAGACAGGTGGTTTGTTATCCATTACTCAACTACTTTATCTCCAAAGGGGAAAAAATAATAACCTCTATGGTTTTCTATGTTCACATTAAAATAAAGCATACATAAATACCAAACTTGCTACTTTTCCTAAACAACCATGAGTATGGCTTTTCCTTTCACATCTAAAATTTAACCAAATGTAAATAATTCAAAGTGCATATTAGAAAAGTTGAATATGGATTCCATGATTATTGTGACATATATGATACAAGTTTGCATGAAATTTTCCAAAACCATATCAATTTAAGTATATTTCACATAAATTCAGTACATCATATTATAAATGAAATATGATATTAAAAGACAAGTAATATTGACTCTAGAAGGATAAGATTTGTGTTATAAGAATGGATATAATTTGTTTCGCCTTAGGAAATATGGCTTCAGCCAGAAGAAAAAACTTCAGAAACCCTAGAAAAATCATTGGTTACATTTGTCTTAAAATACTGATAATTTTACTTTACATAATTAAATATTTGAACTTATCAAGTTTATAAAATATAATTTGAGGATCTCAAAATGACTATACCCACTTGATGAGTCTACTAAGAGGTTGTCAAAATGGATACTTTGCTAAAAAAGGTAATTTAGTTAGTAGAGGAAAAGTATTTTTACTGTTCAAAGAAGATAATGTTAACATTATATCTCACAACTTGCTAACAAAAGGAACATATATAGTAGAACTGAGTACTGTGGATGTATTATTGAGGGTGAGAAAGTGCTGTTCCTACAATAAATGTATTATGGTGATGTTGATTTGCTAATATATTGCAAATAATTGCTCATTTCCTAAAAGAACAAAAGAGAAAAATACACGTTAATATAGTTTTCAAATAATTCACTCAATTTGTAAGAAAAGCAATATCTGCAAACTCCCCCTCCCTTCTTTTTTTTTTTTTGCAGTTCTTGGAATTGAACCTAGGGCCAAACACACATCAGTCTCTACTGCCAAGCTACACCCCTACAAAGCTCCAGTGGCACGATCCATGAGCGGAAAGTACTTACACAAGCTACGTCCCCAGCATTGAGAAAAAATTTTCAAATAAAGATTAAACATGTAGACAAATTGTCGCAAAATAGAGACCATCAACTATACATGCAAATGAGGCATCAACACACAACTTTGTTAATATTTCCATTTTAATTATTAGTTAATTTTTACTTTTTATAATTGTGACAACATTTGGATATTTATTGTAAGCAACTGTACTGTACATAGAAATCCTTATTGTTACTTGCAATGGACATCTTCAAGTTTATAAACAATACCTAGGGCGTGGGTTTCCTGTTTTTTCACCTTACTTGGAGAGTACAAGATGCTAAGGAAAGCAAAACTTAAATTATCTATCTCATCCATATTTCAATATTAGCAATCACAACAAAAAGTAGAAAGTTAATATTACCCGGATATTACTATTATTCCCCTTCTATGTCACACAGGAAGTTATAGCTATTAAACTTAATTTCATTTTTTGGGACATTGAATGACACATGGATAAGATTATGTATGAATTTTGGAGGATTTCAGGGCAGTTATTTAAAAGTACATAAATATCTTCTATTATGAGTGCAACATCTAAAAATGTCTCAATGATATTTGAATTTTCTTAGAATTAAAATGTAAATGGCATTCTAACTTCTTTTTTTGCAGAAATCTATTTTTTATCCAAATCTTAACTTTTTGAACACCAGCAATTGGTATATTACTGTAACATTTGTTAAGGAGTTGGCATTATGTAAAATACATAATGTGTACTTGTGTTTTTCTGCAGCAGCTAAAAATATGCACATATTTTATACACACAAACCTGATTTGCTTTGAGATTTTGGTTCTAAAATACAGGGATGACTGGTACCATAAAATGTTGGATACATTTTGAAAAACACAGCTACAGGATCATTAAACTTCCAAGTAAACAGTAAGATATACCCTACACTTTGAGAGACAAGTACCTTCTATTTTCCTAATGGAGGACTCTACAGACAATGATTTTTGCCATTTGCTATCTGCTCATAGCAACCTCAAAGAAATACTCAGTATTAAGAAATCTGTCCCACTCTTTTCAAATTCTACCAATGAAATTCAAGCATTCATAGTTGAGAGAAATCTACAAGTTCGCATATATTCAAAACTCGCATTTTTTTGTACTACACGGATTTTTTAGTGGTCCATTCAGTAAGGAAAAATTGTTTCCTAGCAGGAATTCTACAAATTTCCAAACTGTGTGAATGCATAATAAAGAAATTACTCAAACTCGGGTACTGCCTTTTCTATTGTTTTTCACATCTGCTATTCTGTAACAGAAGCACACTCACTTTCTGTCACCTAGTTATCATCAGGGCACGTTATGACAAACCAAATAGCTTGAATGGGGAACCCAAGATAACATTTTGTCCACAGAAATAATCTTATCTATTTGCCTTCTTCTCAGATACATCATCTCAGCCATCTTAATAACTCTTCTCTAAATATCAGAATAATGTCTGGTATGGCCCTGAATCATTGCAAATGAAATCTGAATTTTATAGGAAAATGTCATATGAATATTTGAATTACGCTAATAGAAATGGCTGTCCAAATATGAGGATTTTCAAAACTTAATTTTTATATCCATATAGTGAATACACTCCTAAATGTTTATTTTAATTTCCTTTATAATTTTCTGCAGTTATGCTTAAAGTAGAAATAGGCATTGCAATACAGCAGATTCACTTCCTTTAGCAAACGTGACCAGGATTGTGTTTCAGTTAATTTTAAGCTATTACCATGACAACTGTCTTTCTCACACAAATTAATGAATAACCTTATCAAATAAATTTATGGAACAGTATTGAGGTTTGGGTCGGAAAGTTCAGTACCAGTGCTTTTTACAAATTATAACAGATACTAAAAAGGTGGCAAAATTTTTTAAAGCCTACGATTAACATCTCTGCTTTTGAAAGCTTAAATTCAGTTATTCAGATCAGTTAAAACCTCACATTTGTCATTGAGAAATATATCTCACTTGTAAAATAACAGTACTTCGACATATAATTTTGTAAATCATCTTTGAATGGCAAGAGTAGATGTGCATGTATACGAGTATATGTACACAAACACACGCGCGCGCGCACACATGCGCTCTTGCAGACAATTACTAGACTATTCCAGACAGAAATTCCCATAAATTTAGAACAAAGTCAAACTAGTAGTTTAAATTACCCAAGACAGCACGTCATTCTACATGTACGTACACTGTAAACTTTGCTCCATCTACACACATTTGACTCCACATTTGTGCTAGTAATTGTGCTGAAATACTAAGAACACCGTGGTGAAAGATACTCCATACCTGAAAGAACCACAAAGCTACAGTCCAGTGGGGAACATAGCCAAGCAAATCAATTACATTTAAATACTATTATAAAGGAATATGCCAGCTGCAATGGGAGTAGAGAGAAAGAGCACATACCCTGACCTGCACGGGGTCAGCGAGGGCTTTCCACAGAGGCTGGCACCGCAGCTCACTTGAAGGCTCAGATGAGGTAAGGGAGTCTGAGAAGATGAAAAGGGTTTTGTTGTTATTTGATGGTTCTAAGGTAGCAAAAGCTGCATACACAGAAAGAAATGCTCTAACAGGTTCGATTTGGCTGAGCAGATTTCAGTGATTTTCAATGATCAAAACAACTGGCCCTTATTTTAATATTTTAATAGTTTCTATACATCCTTCTATGTTCTTTATTTTTACATGGAGAAACCCCATCATGTAGAATATATAAAACATTTTTAAATCACAGCAACTCCACCTTTTGATATTTATATTTCTCTGTGTGTAGCTTTCCTTTGTTATTTTAATGTGCTACACAAGTTTTTAGTAAAGTCATTGAGTGTATGTAGTTCTATACCTGTTTTTAAACTCTATATTGCATTCTCCTATATCAACAATTATCTTTAATTCCTTTTAAAAATTATATTTTTCAAAAGTGAAAATATACCACCATTAAAACATGTCAAAGAATGTTTACACATTCCCTTAGTTTTTGACATTAAGAGATTTATAAATTTTTTAAGAACTAGAAGGTGATAATATACACACATGTATTATATGGTCTCTGATCATTATCAATATCAAGAAAGGAGACTATAGGTGAAAGAAGACAACCATCTGGATGTATATTTCCAAAGTGCTTTCCAGAAAAAAAATTCCAACCAATATTGTGAAAGGACTTCTGCTCTCTAAGTAGCTCTATTATCACAGATATATCTTTCCATAGTTAATTGGATAACTATTTTATTTTGATCTCACTTTTCATTTTGGTTATGCAGAAAAAATATAAATGATTTCAGTCACATTTTATACAGTAGTAATTCTGCTAAGCTACTACAACAGCATTGTTTTCTTAATTCAGAGAGATAATATTATATCTTTTGAAATGAGAAACTTATTTAATTTTTCCTCAATACTTAAGATGTCTGGATACAATCTAATGACACCCTGGGGCTCTACTAAGAGAATATATAGCTGGAGTAGAAATAAAATTATCAAATATTATATTCACCTTACTCCCTAAATTCCTTATACAAATTTTTTCACTTTATTACAAGTTTCTTCAGGATTCATAATATTTCTGAACATGTTGTCCTTTAACGTAACCTAAAATGGGACAGGTTATTTTAAATGAGTGGGTTTTTTTCAAGTTCCAAAGAAGAATCTTGAATAAAATCCTAAATTTTAGGGTTAATATCCTGGTAACAAATAGTGTTTAAAACTAAATACATTATAACTTTCCAATAGATTCAGAGATGGTATCAAAATACAGTCAAAGCTAGCATTTGCTGTGAAAGCATGAGATATGTGCCTCTGTTGGTTATGAAAATGAACAGCTTTAACCTACTCTGAAGACATTCTTAACCAGGTTACAGAACTCTGTAGTTAAGGGTTAATATAGATACAGAAGATCATATAAAACATATGGACAATAATTTTTAACCTCGTTCTTCTGAGCACAATTAAATTTAGCATCTGGCAGAGACAATCTTTATAGTTTCTATGGTTTAAAACAACACAAGTCTGTTTCTTGACCACCTAAAGTCTGATACAAGTCTATCCTTCCCTCAGGAGTATGTTCCTCCAAAGTCATAGAACAAAGGAGTGACCGCAAGACTCACCACCAGTTCACAACTCTGTCTGCTGGAAGTGATACGTCCTTTCTGTTCCTGGTTCATTGTCAGGACAATATGGAAGGCTGGGCCATGGGAAGAAGCAGGGAAGACATTAGTGAGAACTACTTGTTTCTGTCATGCATCTTAACTAAAGGATATGCAACCAAAATATCTGTACAACACGAAGCCCAAAGAGAACTGTTCACTGAATGACTTCTTAGGGTTATATTGGACACAGGAAACCAGAAGTTTAAGACAATCCCTATCCACCAAAAAAACCTAAAATATGTAATTAAGAGCCAATGCAAAATAAATATAAGAAGAATTTAAGGATTATTTTTGTAGCATAGATATTGAAACCTTTAGTACTAAAAGAAGAGTCTAGGAATAATTACAGTGGATTTTGTAAGGAAGGTGGAGTGTGAGTCTGTCTCCAAAGCACAGAGGGTGGGATTTACATTGGAGCAGGGAGAAAGAAAGCACGTGAGAGCAAGACTATGGGCTCCGGAGGAAGCAAAGGTGAGATTGTTATGGCAGCTTCAGAGAACCTTAAGGAAATGGGCCTAATTAGAAAGAAGATTTTGAGAAATTCTGGGAAATAATGTGAAACATACAGAGTACAAAACCTTCCAAGCCCCTCAGAGGAACTCAGAATCGATACAACCGAAACTTGAGAATCAGTTAAAGTCCTCAAACAAAAGGCTGAGATGTATTTAAGTATCGCACTCACCTATTTTCACAAGGATTTGAGTCAGCTTACACAGTAAAACACAACACAAAATCAGGCATCAAGGAAGAAAACGGAGCAGAGCCTGCTTGATGAATTTAATGGACTTAATGAATTTAATGAAACAGATGGAAGAAGTGCTGGGTTATACAGAGTGCCTGAAACAACGGCTGATACAGCTGGGCAGTGATTACTTGGCTGCGCTGTGAGTTTCCCTCTTAATTTTCTTACTTAGAAAGGAAAATAAATTAGGTTAAGTAATCTCAGTGCTGGAGCCAAAAGGAAAATAACCTTCACCTGCGTGGCGTATAATAGGTACAGTGTTTGAGGAAGAGTCAACTGGTATTGGTTTCCAAGGTGAGTCGCAGAAGAGACCAGAGGGAGCAAAAGCCACAAACACTCAAACACCGAAGTACAGCACTAGGGCAGTGGTGATCCAGCTGTAGTAGAAGGAAGTTGAGAGCTCTAGACTTTTCATAAATATGTGTATGTGTATGAAATCACTGAAACTAATACCCAGAACCCTTACCGAGCATACCAACACTCCTCTAAATGTTGCAGTGACACTGATATTGCTAAGATTTCACACATGCTAACATTGATTATTTGGATATCATAAGGAGATGGTTTATGTCAATAATTTCATTTAACATAACAGATGTTATTGGTTGAAGAACACCTAAAATTCATTCAAAAACCCCACATGATCCCAAAGCTGTAAGAAACATTTAGTGATCATTCATAGAGCCTTCTGTGCCTGTAATGCTACACCAATATCATTACAATGACTACTATTTTAGAAGATGGCATACTGTCTAACTGACAGGTGGTCTTTGATACTGTAAAATACAAATATTTACAGAGTGTTATTTTTATAAAGGTAAAAGTATACATTCAATTCTATAGAATAAGCAACCTAGCACAAAAAGTCTTAAGATGCTATAACAACTCTCATTTTCAAGTTTTCAGAGTAAATTAAGTGTGGAAAGTGAAGGTAAAATAGTGAGCTTTCTAACACTCTTCCTTAAGGTTTACCATATCCCCTTTTCAAATTCCTAAAACATTGTTATACATATTTTTGTGTGACCATCAAAAAAAAACCATTGTTTTGCACAAGTGTACTATTAGAAAACACATAATTTTATTAACTGGGTGTAATAACTGGCTTGATCTCATTTAATTTGATCACCCATGAAATAAAGGCAAAATTAAGTTTTAAAATCAATGCAACCAAAACATATGAAAAATTAAACACAACGAAGTATCACTAGAATGAATCATTATCCTCTCAGCTATTGCCACTACTTTACATTATTTCTGGGTATTAATTAAACCAACATTGCTCTTGTGCAGATATTCATTCCGTCATATATATATATAAACTGGCTTTCTTACTTGGGTTAACATGTGAAAATCCTCTGCAATACTGGATTCCAGACCTGAATCTCAAAACTTATTAAACCTATTTCAGCATGTTACTTAGTCTTTTCTAACATCTATTATTGTCTGTGGAACATCAGGGCAGAAGAGCTGCATAACCTTGACAAGTTTACAAAATACCATTTTAGAATGAAAGCAAGGAGGGAATTCTATGAAATATTAACTTTAGAACTAAAAGCTAAGTTTCTTTTCAATCAATAAAATCTCACATTCTTTTGAGAATCTTTAAACAATGGACTAACTCCAAGAATCTGTCATATTAAGTTAAAAATAACACACTTAAAAATAAGGGTTATTTTTCACTTTCTTCACTTACTTGTTTGTTTCATGTCTATATCAGTTTTGCTCATGTCTTTAATATTTAAACATTTTTAAAGTAAACAGAAAAGTGAAAAATGTACTATACAGGATCGCTTGAATAAACATACATGTGGATTATTTTTAAATCAACATTATATATACTACATATTCAGAAATACATTGATTGACACCTTTACATGCACATGGTTAAATTCACCTGCATGGTTTGAAGTGAGATATTATAGAGAATCAATTTACTTAATATTTAGACATTTTTGAACCATTTGTTGTTCCTCTGAAAGCTTATGACAGCTTCTCTGTAAGTAGCACATGTATAATTTCCAAAAGAATACATCTACTTTCATTATTTAGGATTGTGAGCATTAAAGTCAAACTAAAATATTTTAAATAACCAAATAACTTATTCAGGAAAACACACAAGGATAAAACTTTAAGACAGATATTAAAACTTTCAGTTCCTAGTTTATACACTGATGAAGTTCCAAATTAACTTCATGACAATTTATTTTTTTTAACAATCTAGGTAACCTGAGAATGCATTGATTTTTCTATGATTTACTAATCACCAAGGTTATATCACTTTTGGTGTTAAGAAAATTCTAGAGGTCTTGGAATATTGACACAGAATAGAGTAAATTTATAATTAGCTTTAGAACTGTCAATTTTCTAAAACCTTTCCAGTTTCTCAGTGCTGTCAGAATGGTACAATAAATCACTAAACTCTAGTCTTATCAAACAGTAGCCTTGTCAGAAATAAGTTCAAATATCAACAGATGAGGTAAAGTGAGACAGCTCACTAACACACATAAAAACAGTAACTCTTCTAACCTTTCAGAAATGAGGTATAAAAAGTATGTTTTAAATTTTTATTCATGTATGTATTCAATATACTGTGAGAGAGTTCAGATGGATACAGATTTACAACAACTCTGTGTGTAACATTACTTTATGTTACATATTATTTTCAATACAGGGTATCACTATGTAGTTCAAACTGGCCTTGAACTTCCTGTGTGCTCCAGGCTGGTCATCTGCTTATGATCCTTCTGTCTCAGCATCCCAAGTGCTGGCATTACAGGTATGTGCCAAAATGCCCAGTTTAGCTTTTGAAACTCATAATAGGTGATAACTATACACTACACACCGAGTAAGTATTTCAACTGTGCCTTCTGATGCTTAAATAAATATAGCAGATATAATTTCACACCGAGTATTTCTCAGGGGACCCATACTTTGGCTACCTGTAGTTTCAACTTACTTCACCTTTGTAGAATTATACAGCTGGCATACTGTATGTTTTTTTTTTAATTCATAAATATTACAGTCCCATAGAAATGATGAAACCTGTCAAATGTTTTCTAAGAATAAGTACTGCTATATTTTGTATTTTAATAAAACAATTATTTTGCAACTAATTTCAACTCTCTGGCAGCCCTTAGCCCTATTATGTTTCTAAATAAAACATCATTTAGATGCAGATTGTACATTATGCAGAAGATAACAGAGGAGCTTATCAAATGTCTTACAATTCTAAGGGTAAATTTATTGATAAACTATACAACATGAACTAATCTGACTTTTGTCAGTAACATGTGATGGCCTCAACTTTCTGACCTGCTACCTGGGTGTAGAAATCCTGAAGGCACAGTGGAACAAATGATTGCTGTGACATTAAAACAATGGGCATTAGTTTAAAAATGCTGAAAATTTCTTTTCCTAGAACTTAGAAGAGGCTTATTTTAAATTTAATGTTTTAACCACAAATGTACTTTTCTTATAACCTGTTCTTAATAACGTTTGCAGCAAAATGTACTTATTGTGCCATCTTCAGGACGCTTTTAGAAAACAGCTCCGTTATCTAAACTGGAATTTACTACCCTTAAGTGAGTTTCTTAAAAATTATTACTTGGAGCTTTTGTTTATGAATACTTCACAAGTCATATAATGTGTGGATTAAAATTCTACCATATGTCAAAATAATTCAAACTTATATGGAAATACAGGTATATCAAATACATGTATAAGCATATTTATATATGTACACATATATGTAAATATAAACACATGTATGTTTAAAGTGCTTATACTTTCCCAAACACTTGCATATTATTTGGTATTTACAGCATTTCTCCAAAGTAGTTATGGCAGAAAATAGTATATATTTTAATAAATGAAAAAACTCATATTTAAACCATAAATTACTTTGTCCGAAATTTCAAAATTATTCAATCATATTGCCAAAATTTGTTTACATCTTTGTACTCCAATAAAATAATTATTTACAATAGGATAGTAGTCTATAATATCTTTAGAATAATGAATAAAGTTCTACATAATTTCTAATTAGTCTTTTCTGATAATTTCTTTAAAAAATCTTCAGTGAAATGTAGAATAATTCCTTGATCAATATGATCATGTATCATAAAATCAAACATTTACCTTTAGCTAATTCTTTCATCATTTCTGAACTTTATTTAACTAAAAAATCTGTATATGTTCCACAAAAAAAGAAAATTATACTATAATTATACAAACAAGTTCACATATGAATACAATAGACAGTGAATTATCTATATGACAAGACCAAAATATACA